GCTAGAAGGTCGCTGGGCTGCCTTGTCGATATCATGCTGTCTGCTATTGTTCGCAGGTTTACCACCTCCTCCCTCCGCAGGAGCCACTATGAGGAAGGCCCTGGAAAGGTAGCGTGGGGAGGAGAGGCCCTCCTCTGCGGCATGCCCTGAAGGTCGTGTGAAGGGGCGCCGGGGGTGGCAGGAGGGTAACGGCTCGCCACAGGGGAGTGTAGTGGCTCTTTGGGGAACGGGATGGGGGAAAACGTGTACCTAAAGGACATTACGCTGGTAGCGCCCGCCCGACTCTTGGGAAGGCCTAGCTGAGGGGCGAGCCCCTGGATTAGGGAGCGGGTGGGACGTCAGGCGTTTGCTGGCGAGAGGAGTAACCGTAAAGACGTCGTTGCAGCCGCAGTGCGGGCCTACCCCGGCTCGCCGTAGACGCCGGGATGAAGTGAACGCCCGTCCTGCGGCGGGCATGCCCGAGGTGAGCTCCTCATTCGCTGAGCTCCCGTGAAGGGTTTTGCGCATAATTGCGTTTCAGCAGAGTGAATTGTGGTGCAAATGACTTAAAGTGTCCTTCCCTGCAACTCTCTGCTTCAGTGGTACACATGATGAGCATTGCAATATGAGCAACAATGATACTGTAAACGCTTTCTGATGTACCCTGTGCTTAACATATTCACCTAAGTCATACATCCAAAAATTGATTTTATATACCTGATGAACTTGAAAAAATCCTCCCAATGAAGGTAATTAAATACCAAAACAGGTTGCATAGAGAGGCTGTGGGGTCTGTATCTTCTGGGACATTTATAACTTGATTGGATGAGGCCTTCAGCAAACTGGCCCTGCTTTGAATTGGGAGGCAGAGGGGAAGGGGAGGCAAAATTACTTCCAGAGGTCACATTCAAGCTATTATTTTAGTTACTGTATTTCTTGCTTTGAGAGGAAGGGAAATTTTGAGACTGCATATTTATTTTGTCAGCTTGACACCACATGTTGAGCTTCTCACCATTTTCAAGTTGATGAGAAAGTAATTACTGTATCGACTACAAAACTGAAATTCATTTTTCTCTTCTAGAACCTTCCATTTTCAGTGGAAAACAAATGGCGATTACTCGCAATGATGTGTGGATTCTTTGGAAGCGGATTTGTCGCACCTTTCCTTATAGTCAGACACCAGCTTCTTAAGAAATGAAGAGGACGGACTGTAATTGCACTAACTGGGTAACTGATTTTGTTAGATTTCATAGTGTAGAGGAATCTATGGTTAAAACTGAGCTTCAAAGAGTATAACCTCATACAGAACCATTATTACAGTTTTCAACCTTTAGCAGTCCGAGTTTTTAGAGTTGTGATCCACAGTTGCATTTAAACTCAAATAATGAATAGGCTGAAGTTTACTTCGCAGGACTGCTGCACTCTTGTTTGCTTGTGAACTCTGACTCCCCACAGGCCATACCTCTCTGACTGCAGCTTTTTGATAGTCTACAGCTGGGCTAACTGGCTAAGGAGTGCTCCTGATTAGATTTGAATAATAGCAATGACCAAGACTATGTCTGCCCTCTTCTTTGAGGAAACATAAAACTGCACTTCACGTAATCTGTAGGAAAAGCTGGCATGTGTGATGTGACCAAAACAGTATGAGAAACTGTGATACTGTAAACGCTTTCTGATGTGCCAGTTAAAACTCAATGGAAAATGGGATTTCTTGAACTTCAGTTCAGCAATGTCAAAAAAATCATACCATCTACATACAGTGTTCCTGACCATTTGCAGCATAAAGTGCACTCTAAATGATGTTAACAACAGTAGAAGTGGTTTTAATTGGTGCTTGCAGTTGATCCTAACAGACAAATTAAGCCTCAGGCATAGTTCAGACTGTGCAAGTAGTTTTTCTAGATTCAAAGGTAAGAGGGTTCTTCAATTTGTTAATTCTTTTTTTTTTTTATAATCTTGCAGAGTTGAAGCCTACACGGCATCTTTCCATGGAAAAAGAATAACTGTAATTGCATACGATGCTGGATGTGTCTAAATAAAATCTTAAATGTGAAGGCCTTGGACTATGTGTTTTGTATTTACTCCTGAAGTACTTTTGACAACTGGTGCATACTGAGAACCTCTTCAGATTGCAGTGTATTGACATTAAATTGTCTTTATGTGTAAGAATAGAGGATTGGAAAAATTAAATTTCTAAATGGAATTTGGGCCAAATATTTTTTGCTATATAGATGTTTAACTAGCTTTATTAAGCTATGTGTTCATCTCATACACTCTAGACTACTTGCAGAAAAATGACCTGGGACAGTTTATAACCATTGAGCCTCACAGTGAGTGTACTGTTACCATAATCCATGCTGCAGAATTTTTATCTTCAAATTTTGGTTTGATCTGTTGAGAACATTTTATTTGGCCTTACTTCCATACCTAGCTGTTCTAAAGAGCTGCTGTTAGTGGGTCCCCATAGTGTGTTGCCACTCAGATTTTATGAGGCTTCTGGCTCAGGTGATGAGGTAGCCTGGAAAACAAGTACAGCAGCAATAACTGCAACTCTAACCAGAACAAGTATTAGTAATACTGTATAGCTTATTAAAACTGATACTGCTGAAATTTGTAGCTGTTTGGAAAGAAATTACAGACAGCTTTCAGTTTGTAGCTGTAGTCTTAGCACAGGGACCTGTATAATTAAAAGTAATCTAGAAGCTGTGAAGAATGCTGTCAACTTGAATATGACAGATGTTTAAATTAGTGGTCTTGCTGACAGCATGAGTGAAAAGTCATTTTCACATCCACTTGTTGCAATTACCTCATTGGCTAAAGACACAGGGTATGAAAAGCACTGGCATATCCCTGCAATGGTTACTTCACCCTTGCCAGTAACACTGTTAAGTGGCAAGCATTGCATTCCTTTTTTTCAGTAAGGTTTTCTGGTTTACTTTTTCTGCTAGAATGTGCCCTTGTGCTGTAGTACGGAGTGTTTAATGTGGCTTGCAATACCTGTCAATCCATGAACTGAACGGTGCTTTTCATTGAAGTTCAAATGGTAAGTTCAAATCAGCATGGATACTAATTTGTCATCAAATGCCATCAGCAGAAGTGTATGTAGGAGAAATGAAATACGGTTTGTACCAGAATAGCTTTTGCATGACACACTTCTTATTTAGGGGTGCCTTTAAAATGCTGATGACTGGTGTTTAAAGAGCCTGAGCTGAGGAAAAAAAAAACCAACAACAGAATAATACTGTCTTGCTACAACCTTTTCAGTAGAGCTAGAAGGAAGCTTAATAAAGCGTGGTGGTTTTGATAAAAGGACCAGCAAAGGCTGCAGAAAAGCAATACTGAAAAAAGCAAGATTTGGAGGAAAGATCCCAAACTAAAATGTGTTCAAATAGCAAGAATGCTTTATGGCTATGACTGAGGTATAATTATATGGTATAATTTGGTTTTCGCTGTCAAATGTGTGTTTTCTGTCTGCAGACTGTAGTGCAAGTAGCTAAACACCATGCAGTTCAGTTGTTCAGCTCTCCCCTGCTCCCAAGTGGGATGGTAAAGACAATTGGGAGAGTAAAAGTAAAAGAACTCATTAGTTGAGATAAACACTAATAATTAAAGTAAGCTGAAATAATACAAATCAATTGTAATAATAAGAACAGTGATAATAAAGCAATCACATTTATATTCAGCTTACAAACAGCAGTAATTATGAACCTGAGTATTATGCTAATGAGTGGGATCAGTTCAGGTTCATTAAAAAACAGGAGTTGTAGAATTAAGTTGTTCAAAATCAAAAAGTATGTTCCATCACGCTCAGCTTTATAATAGTCTGAGTATTTTTAAAATAGCTTTTTTGGTTCCCTTTAGAGCATCTTGACTGGTTAGAAGATAAAGCAATTGAAAAAACCAAGAAGCAGAAGACTGAAACACAGGCTTGATGTTATAGGCAAAAAGCAGTATGTAAGTGTTGCTTCCCTATCATTAAAATTGTATGAAAGAAACAAGACAGTGGTTAAAGGACATCTGGGAAATAAATCTGTGTGAATGACAATATTTTTTGCTTGCTAGATACCAATTTCAAGGAAAACCTTTTATGATTATTTTCCTGATTTTTCCTGATTATTTTCCATTTTTCTTGTTACAGTTTTCCCCCTCACAAGTTCTATTTTGGCTTAAACTCAAAATAGTTTCACTTTGTTTCCGGAGAGGTTCATGCTTCCGGATTTTAATTATGTTTGATAGCAGTAGTCTTCAAGTACCTTCTCAATTAAATTTAAGTAGATATGATTTAGATGTCCTTATGTTTAAATATTTGGAATGTTCCCAGTTTGGGGATTTTTCTGCCTTACTCTGGAACGTTACTTTTTCTCGTTTCATACATGCAGCTGAACTTTCACAGAATCTTTACAAAGCTAGCAAATGAAGTATTTCAACAGAGA